ATAAAATAAAAATAAAAACTTAAAAAAAAATAAAAATAAATTTTTTTATTATATAATAAATATATTATTTAAATATATTTATATAATAAATAAATAAATTGTGTAAAAGTAATCCCTTTGCATCAACTCTTTGCATGAGAATATTTGAGGTATTCTTTAGTGTCTATAATTTTCCCGTCGGTCACTAACTTGCTAAGGTAATTCAGTTGAGTGAAAAATTTATTATCTATAACCACTTGGTACTATCGAAGTTAACTATTTAAGACTCTTACCTTTCTAAAAATAACATAAATGAGTTAATAGAAAAGAACCACAGTGGCTTTGAACCACTTTTCAATCTATAAAAATTTTCCTCTTATATTTTAGAAAGGAAAATTCAATATAGAAGAAATGTGAAAGAATTTAGTTGCGCTTTCTGTACTTTAAGAAGGATTTTTAAGTTTAATGTTTTAGTTATTATAGGTTAAAATTTATTTGAATCAACTAAAAAAATAACAGGTAGGTTAAAAAGTAGAATAGCTGTAAATTTAAACTTCATATTATTGAATAAAAGTATTTTGATTTGAAAATAAGAATAAGAGATTAAATCAATATCTGCATAATTGGCGCTACTCCTAAAATTCAGTTTGACCAACTTTCTAGTTTAGGTAATCAGGACTCCCGAATTCGGACTTAACTTTATCTACTTTTCACGCTTGAATTCTTCCAGCTTATCTAATTCTTCCCGTTATACCGAAAAAAATGTTCCTTACCACCAAATTTTACATCACCAATTTTAGTCTTTAGGATCTGTTACAGACAGCGAGAAGAAGAATTCTTTTCTTCTTCTTCTATTATCACAAGAAGAAATAAATAGAGCGATTAAACATATTCTTGCATTAAGCTGAAAAGATAGAGATATTTTATTATGGAAGTCTTCGAATTATTTGTTGATTTTCCAGAAATAATCTCTTTTATTTTTTAAAAATTAGACTCTCATCTTCGCATATGCAGTAATAGCCTAAGTTTTACTTGAATAAAAAGGCAAGCTCTGCGGAAAATGAAAGGGCTACTAATCTAATAAATTATTTACTTTTATTAAACCTATAATTCTACTTAGAAAATACTATTTGTTGATCTATTAATATCTTTTGTACATCTAAATGTAACAATCGGGATCTCACATCCTTACGTTAATATTGATCAAATTAATACTTTAAACAATAATTTAAAATTTTCAGAGAGCGAGAAAAATACTGAGGTTTCAGATTTTGTCCTTTTTTGTTGTCAATTAGTCATAGACATTACTAATTGATAATGTTTCTTAAAAACTATTAGAAAACAAGTCATTTTAGAAAACTTTGAAATCATAAGGTACCACAAAATGTTGTTAAGTATAATTTGCAGCGGTAGCAATTATTGCAAGCGATCTCAACAAATTTTTTACAGTCTCATCGTCTCACATATAAATCCTCCTAAATGTTCCAGAATAAGTTCTAAAATAATTTCTCAGTTTTGTGAGCTGATATTTCAACCCAAAGTTCGATATCGGAATTCTTTTAATGATCTTAACTTGATTTTATTTGGTTTCATACAAACCAATTATTTAAGGTTGAAAGTCCATATGAGCAATTTTGATTGAAAAATTTCCAATTACTGTAAAAATCAATTTAAATTACTATAGTTTAGTTTAAACTATATTTTTAATGGTTAAATTAGATGGTCAAAACTAGAAAGGATATTGAGACCACCGTGCCATAATTTACCCCATCTACTTGTATTACCTTATTTAAATCGTTCCCTCTGATCTTAAATTATTATAGTTTAGTTTAAATGAAACTAGAAAGGATTTTGAGAGCACTGTACCCTACTTTACCCTATTCACTTGTATTACCTTATTAAAATCGTTCCCACTAATCTTACAGTATGTCCCATGCCGTACCGCTTCTATTTGTATGTATTTTTAATTATATACATCCATTGCTTTACCCTAAGCCACTTATTATAAAAATACCTCCTCCTAATGATCAAAATGACCTGTGTAACGAAGGTTGTGTATTTCTTATTTCTAATTACCGACATCACTTCAATCAAATAATTTTTCATGAAAATTCTGTGAGGCTTACATATGTTTCTGATAGCGTTTCGGAATTCTACAAAATCTATTAGTATCTATTTCTTTATGTAGTTAATGTTTTATTTAATAATTCATATATTTTTTTAATTATTTTTATATTGAATGATTTTATTATTTAATTATTTATTTACTTACTTTATTAATTTATTTATTTATTGATTTAATTATTAAATGAAATATTTATTTATTTTATTATAACATTTTTTTTGTTACATTATATATTTACTTATTTATTTATTTATTTATTTATTTTATTTCTTTATATTATTTTCTTATTTATTTTAGTTTAA